AAAAGTGTGTATATATATATATATATATATATATATATATATTTATGTGTGTGTGTATGTATATGTATGTGTATATGTATTTCCTGTGTTTGTGTTTCATGTACCTGTGTATGTCCATCAATCAACCTGCCCGTGCAGCTGAAGGGTGCCACCATGTGTTGTGCATTGGAGCGTGCAACTAAGCGGCGATGCGCTTGTGCCTGCCTTGGAGGTACGTCGACGTCATCAAGACAACGGGTGCCAAGCGTGGGACAAAGTATCAGCCAAGCTGCACAGGACGTTCGTCCTCAGAAGTGTAAAGTTGTCTTGCTTGTGGAGTTTGCATGAAACTGCACAATGCGATGTGTTACGCGCTGAGCCTCGGACAGTGTCAATGAAGAATTGCACAGTTGTGGTCTTCTTGGGCGATCCATAACCTTTTCGCCTCATGTGAATTTCGCGGTTTACGATATTTCTGCGTAGCTGTAGAGCTGACTGCTGCACAAGTAACGGGGACCCATCAGTCACTTGGACAGTTCCGCTACCTGGGAAAGATTGCTGAGCAGAGGTTTGACAGCGGCCGTCAAAAGAACAAGTTGCGGGGCCACGCGTCCTTGACACTGCCAAGGTGCCTTGCAGCATGGTTGCCTCATTCGGGGCATTTGCAAACAGTCAGGTGCTCGGCATGTCGCTCGTCAGGTTCCGCGCCTTGCAGTCACGAGGGCTCGGCATGTTGAAGTGTCCCCGGGCCTCCTGAGCCGATCTTGCCTTCACGGGAAATGCAGAACCCCACCCGAAAAACTGGGACAGATGGGAGATGCGGAGAATCGCTTCTATATGTGGGAACTGCTAAGAGCTAGCAATTGCAGCCAGACAGCTGGCCTTCTCAATGTCGCCGTTTACCTGCATTTGCCGGCATGGGTCCTCCATCGATTGCCGGGCAGGCAGCTACAAGCTTCTCATGATACTACCGATGGCAAGGAATGTCAAGCATGTGCCGTTTGTCTTGCGATCTCGGAGTCTGATCAGGGGTTCTTTGCTTTCTTCGTAAGCATCCTCGCACTGTGTCTGCGAACGAGGCGCCATAGGGTTCTTCTTGTCGGCCACGAGAGCGCCATGCATTGACAAAGACGACGCATAAATCGACTGCAAAAGGAAGGTGCGTCAGACCCGTCGATGGGCTAAACTCAACGCGCCCTCCACTGCCTGCTTCCGCTGCCGAGGTGTTACTGGGTCTTGTGCTCTGTCCGGACTTTGCACCTGGGCTGGGTGCAAGTGGGCAGAGCTTCCTGCCAGGCCTTCTGAGAACACGGGTCAAAAAGCTGTGCATTGATGCAAGAGGCGGCATTGGGCATCAAGATCTCTGCAGGCCAAGCCGGACTGACCACCATGGCAGTGTCTGCGAGGATTTGAGGATGCAGCGATATGCTTTGAGCAGGGAAGAAGCTCTGAGGAACATTTCAGAACCACGCTCTGGCTGATTGCATTTCGATGCAAGGAAGTGACAGCAGGTTCGCACTTCTCTTCATCCGGATTGGTGACCCTTCGCCTGCGTATGAAGCACACGGACACGGCCGATTCACTCTACCACGATCTGCTGCAGCTACCGAAGCACAGCGACAATAGCTTAACGCCTCTGTTCTTGTGGGCCGCGTCGCGGGCGCACAAAAAGTCGGTGTACCCTCATAACCCCTGTCGAATCCACAGTCCTTGGCGCAGGCAGCTTGGCACTACTCGGAGGCACAGCATAACACACTAGGTCATTGTCGCGACGACGTACTCGTCCTGCGAGGTGTCACTTGCTCGAAGCTATCTGCACCAATGCTAGACGAAGCATGACACCACCGTCTGGCAAAGTTGCCTGCATTGGCGACACAGTCATTTGCACAATTGCCTGCGCTGGGTCGATGCAAAGAATGCCAACCAGCTTTCGGACAGTACTGCACGCACTGCGCGATGAACACCGTGTCCTGTTTATGCCCGGACGGGAATGCCAATGCCAGATCTCCAGACCTCGACGAAGTTTTGTGTCCCTCGCGCGTTAGTTACTAGTTCAATGCAAAGGCTCAGTTGCAAACGCAGTGTACAAGCAAATGTCGCCGTCTGCTTGAACCTGGACGACTTAGCATGCAGATTCGGGCTGATGAACCTAGCAAAAAGTGTTCGCAAGCAGTAGATGCATGCTCTAACCGCCCAACGGCCGCAAATCAACATGAAGGCTTCCACGATGTGCAGCCTCTCACCACGCGAAGCTTAAGAGTCTTTAGTCTTTCAATCTTGGTACGGTCCGGGACGCATCATGAACGCAGATCGATCCAAAATCTGGTGCCACCATGCTCGTTTGAGCCGGTATCATCTGTACACTGTACAAGACCGCCCTGCTAAGCACGTTGCCGCTCTTCAGCTGTACAACATGCGTGTTTTCGCATGTTCAGCTCACGAACTTGTCAGCCGCGACTAGGAACTGCCTTTACTTGATGCGGCATCTCTTTGCCGAGGCAAGCCTTCTTCCAAGTCCGTTTCCACGACTCGTCTGTCTGGATATGGTTTGCCCGGACGAACTTCCCGATACATTCAGCAAACGACCCGCCGGGAATTGCAGCTGCATGTCTAACCACAAAACCTGCCAAACATCTGTTGTCCAAGCCAGCAAGAATGAGAAACACAAGGTAATAAATTATGCGGCGTGCCCACCTCCGTTGTAAAAATTCATCGGGACTTGAGATTCATCGCGTTCAGTTTCCCTACTCAGTCGCTTTACAAGCATGTCAACATTGCATCAGGCCTGGTAGATATGGTCCAACAGCTTTCAGTACAAGGACTGGGTTCTTCGAGAATTTGGCATTCCTGGCTGGATTTCCTCCGTTGCATTACAACATTATTACAACTGGAGCACTCGGAACCCTTCCCACGGAAATCGCTCTTGCGGGCTGAGGAAGCGTTGACGCAGAACAAGCAGCAGAACAAACTGGTCACCGGGGTGGGAAGCTAGAGTCTAGCAGCTAGAGTGAACAACGACATAAGATGGCCACGCCTTCCGGAGTCTTTTTGGCATCTAGCGCTGACGGCTCCATCTGCCATTGCTCCAGGGAGCCTTGAAGTTCTCCCTCAGAAAGAGCACCACGGAAAACCTCAGGCACCTGACTTCATGCCATTGGATGTCACTAGCCTACCAGAGCATTGGATCCCAATAAGGATGTCAGCTACGAGAGCCGGTAGGCCATAGGGAACTAGCAAGTTTCGGCGTCGTTCGGCAGCTCCTACTCTTGACCAATCTTATGCAGCACTGCATGATGGGAGTAGGACCGGGGATACAAGCAAGTTCCATTTAGTCCAAAGCACTGTCGCCAGACCAAGCCTCTTGGCCAGGTCTCGAGTTTCGTCCCAACACAGCCAGTCCCCACTTCTGCGCGCCGCGAAGACCTCGACGAGTTGGAACTCCAAAGTTGAAATGCCTACTCGAATAACCAAGCACGATCATTTCCAATGCATGTCCCGGCAGCATAGAAGTAGTTCGTGAGACTGCCGTACTCGATGCTGTGTACAGCTTGCATATTCTCTCCAAAGATCTCCACATCCCCCAGTTCATCATACTCGATACATGCCGCCAGCTCTTTCACTGCCGAAAAGGATGCGTGCTCGGCTGGCTGTGCATGAGTCCGGCCAAATACCTGCAGCCGCTGGCTTTCGACATCTGCCTTGATGCAACAATTGCCACCATCCAACTTCTCTGTTATGACGACCTCGCGTGACAGAAGATTTTGGCAGTCTGAGACGCGTGTGTCGTCGGGATTTATGCCCGGAGAGAAGGGAAGATGCGGTGTCTTTGGGTAATTTGCCTTGCCGACACCTTCTGCAAGACAGTGTTTCAGACCAGTCGCGCTACCTGGGTAGCCAGCACCCAGCTTCTTCTGACAGTGCGAGAGTGCTTTCAATACACGCGCGTGCTCGACTGCATGCTGTTCGGGAGGCAACGTGTGGAGTTGACTCCTTGCCAACTCAAGAGCAGAAACTGCTTCTTCGTAGCGGGACAGCATGACCAAAGCAAAAGCACGGCTTCGACAGCCCGTTTCGTCTCCACTTTGGAGCTGGAGCAAACGGTCCGACGATGCTAGAACTTGATCGAATCTCTTTACTCGTCCGTAGAACAAGCACGCCACTCTCAATGCGTCGACCTCTGAGGCTTCATTTTCACCTGAACCCAGCAATGCTGCAGATGTAACTTGCTCCATGCTGTCCTGGTAGAGTGGAAACGCATCAGCAGAAATTGCAGATGACAGAAGAAATGCCTCGGTCGTTAAGCGCTGTGATGCGGCGTTGCTTGGAGCTGCTCGCAGGGATGTGAGTCCTTTGGCCTTTGAGTGGACATCGCTACCTTGAAAGCCCAAGGTAATATGGAAATCCTTTGCTGGCAAGCCTAACTTCTTTCGAACAGCCGCAGCAGCTGGCCAAAGCACAACACGGAACACTGACTCCCCACAGTCATCCTTGCAGAAGCCGGTCCCAACGTCAACCCAGTCCCAGCACCGTGGCAACTTCGCGAGGACCAGGGCAATCGAGTTAGAGACCGCCAAGATATCTGTTGGATCGGGTGCCGTGGCTCCAGCCTCCTCCCACACCTCAGCCTGCACGTGCACCATACCGCTCTGCATTAAGAGCTGCAGATCGCCTTTGCTGAGGAACGTCATGTGAACATGCTGACCATCCCGCTTGATTCGCTGCTGTTGCCAGGCAGGTGGAGCATGATCTGCGTATTGCTGCGCCACCTTGACCACTTGGGTGCAAAAGACAAAGCAGCTTCCCTTAACACTTCCTCATGCACCGCGTGCCAGCTACCAAATAACATCCCGTATAACTCTACGCAACCTCGAGAACCACACCGCTCAGTGCTAAAAGCAGTGTCCTGGTCCAGCCGTGTGCCCGAAGCGGCCACCACCCCACGATTGAAGACTAAACGCTGGTCTTGGCAGCAGAGGAGGACACGCGAGCTCTCCATCGGAGACAAGTGCAGCTGCAGTCTTGCGCTGATTGAGCAGATGCGGTAGGGCTGTGTGGTGCTACGTCGTGGAATCTTCTTTTTAATTACTCTGCTACACTTCTAGGTCAAGCGAACTCTTGAAGCAGCCGTTGCCGCAGCCGTCAGGTTGGCTTCCAGATCCATACGGCCATTTAAGGCTGCAACAACCACCAGAAGTACGGTGGGCATCGCAACCTCGCGTGCGCACGGCACCCGCACTAGTCGTGATGCTCCAGGCCCGAGGCGTTGCTCCGGAACAGGTGCCTGGGATGTTGGAGCTGGGGCTGATGACCGGTGGTTTCGCCTCGGCCAGTTGCTGTTCGAGCTCACCGGGCTGGGATTGGCTGGGATTTGGCCTTGGCCTCCGGCAGTGGCATCAGTCCGATGTGCGTCGCGGGGGGTCTTGGCATGCAACTGGAAACTCGCGAAAACCCATGATACGATGACGTGCATTACCTACATCAAGCATTCAGCCCCCAACTCCTGTGGAATCACCTGATGCGAACTACGCGAAAACAGCCGCTCGTGTACACAATAATCTTTAGTGAGTTAAGGTCTCTGCTGCTTTGGATACCAAGAAATCGTCGATGGCAGTCGCCGTCGAAGTGCTTCCTGGTCTGTTAGCAGATGGATTCTTCAAGCTTGACACACAGCGCAGCCAGACGTTTTCAGCAGGGACCGGTGGCTTCTGAACCCACCCTTTATATCCCTGTCGCATTCACTTGAGACCAATACATGTCGAGAAGAGAAAGGCATGTCGGTGAGACATGTGCTTGGCCAGGGACTCAAGTGCGCAGTTGTGTGACAGAGTATGTTGTTCCTTTCTGCCCCTTTACTGCTTGGGCGCAACAAGAAAATGGAGAAAGGAACAACAAACTCTGTCACACACCTGTGCACTTAACTCCTTGCCCAAGCATGTCACCGCCGTGCCCGTTTTCTTCTCGACATATATTGGTCTCAAGTGAATAGCAAAGGCTGAGTTTGGATGGGCAGTGGGGGGCACGACCGTACATGCCTTTGCCGATAAACTTATCGAAACGGCAGCCCCAAAGCTGGATTGATAACAGAGAATCTCCCGAAAGCTCCAGGAACAGCTTTCGTGCTTTTCACTGGACCTTCACCGAGCTCATGACCGCAGACCCGACTGAAGGCCGTAAGTTGCGTAACGGCGTGTCGTGCCCAGTCCGACCATGTGAAAGCGTCCCTCTTCTGCGTCGTATGGCTCATGGAAGCGTCTCGATGTCGGCGGCTTCAAGTATCCGTGCCTTCTCGACGGTCCAACCCTTGCTACCTTCTACGATCTGCTATATGCAAGTTTATGCAAGCTGTTCGCTGCGGCCTTTTCGCCGCAACCGGTCTCGTGCGGCGGCGCGGCTGCCAAAACAACGGAAATATGATCTGTGGTTCTGTTGCAAGCAGTTCTTCAATTTGACCTGGAGACCCCCAGAAATCGTGCTCGGAGCTCGCAGAGGCGGCCCCGTGCACCCTCAAGCCAATGCGCTCAATCCAAGAAATCCGTCTCTGTGGCCGGGCATCTTGTTACCTCCCGCACATTTCCGGGACTCCCGGAAACTGAGACCACAAGCCTAAAACGGGCCGTGTGGGGAAGTTCTGCAAGAAGCATTCGTGCCTTTGCCAAGCAAGGTCGTCAGCTCTCGCTGTTCAAACACAACTGCTTTTCTGGAGGTTCCGATATATATCGTGGCTGCATGTGACCTGGCCTGTAGCCCGGAAACTACCCGTCTAAGACGGCCTAGAGACATGCCACACCCAGCCGCGGTTCATGCAACATCTGGAAGATGATAGGAGACGAAACAGGCACAAACACATTCAACTTCTGCTCTGGATCATGGCCGAACCTACGCGCGATGTAAATTGTGCACAGGGAACAGGCAAGTACTGCGAAACGGATTTTCAGAAGCGACGTCAGAAGAGTCTCAGCGAGGCTGACGCTTCTTGTCATGAATCCGGGCCTGCTGCCGATTCACTTACTTCGTCGGAGTAGTCCTCGCATTGATTCAGCAATGCAAAAAGTGGTGCTTTCTTCTGCTGGTGGCCTCATCCGTCACCGCAGCAGGCGGCACCTCCGAGGCATGCCAAAATATGCCCACTGCTTGCTGGCTCGAAACCTCCCATCTCAGACTTAGCCCAAAACTCCGAGCAAAACTTGTTCGGAGAGTGGAGGCATGCTCTGCTGAAGTGCCCGAACCTTCAGTGCGAAGCTGTGCCAAGTGCAGACTGTTACTGAGCAACTAAAAATTGAGCCGGTGGTTCAAGCAAACCGACCACCAACTTCCTGCGCCCAAGCACATAATCCACTGATTGTCCGAGTTCTTCGTTCGGACTTCGCTCGGGCCGATGTTTGGTTGGTTATGATGACTTGCAGAAAACGGCTTGTTCTGCAGAAGCCAAGTGGTGGGGTTCTTGCTGGCTGTCGCCGAGGGCGCGAGAAACCGTCCACACGTTGATGCGAACGGGACTGCGGAAGGCTGTGGGGGCGAGGCGCTGCCACGCGGGGCTTGTCAAAGGCTGTGGATGTCGAGCGTTCGCAGGGCGATGCTGCTGTGGACGGGGCGACGGGCATGCAGGGGAAGGCTGTGGGCGCCGAGCATTGACGCTACCGTGCCGAGCGTTCGCGGTTTGACGCTACTTGTACCGCGGCTGTGGGCGCCGAGCATTCGCAGGCTAGGATCAGCAGGTGTCAGCAGGCTGAGATGTTTCAGCACAATCTGAAACCAAAACGCACACAAAAACTTTGCGACAGCTGGAAAGAGGTGCAAAACACACAAGAAGCAGGCCACAAAGGAAGGTTGAAAATGACCGGCAAGGGAAGGCAAGCCTTCACGACTGAAGGCGATTTTGTTTAGTTCTTTGGCATATAGGTAGCCAAAGCCCCACAGCACAGTGCAGAGTAAAGCAGTCCGTCTGCAGAGCGCGGTCGGCTCAGCACAAGGACTTACAAGGACTCTGCTGCCTGCGGCCTGTGACGTTTCCGCCTTGCTCTTTCTCCTCCGTCTCGTCGAGCTGTGGTCGCAGCGTGTCTGCTTTTTCGTGCTATTCCACTGATGTCCACTGCTTGTGTTCGGGCTGTCGCTGTGACATCTGTAATTCGTCCCGGTTCTTTCTTCTGAGATCTTCTGAGCATGCGGGCAAACAAATCACACAAGCTGCGCCCCACATGGCCGATTTTCCCTTCTGCTCGAGATGCGCAGTAGTCGCAGCTGCAGTGAAACCGCCACTGTTCGAACAAGCGCTCACATGTCTCCGGTCCGTCTTCCTTAGATGCACTAACAACTCACATTGTCAAGTGTGTTCACAAGCATGGCAGAGATGCAGCAGCGCGGCCAGGTAGGCAATTGTGACCTGCGGCAGCTATGCAAAAGCTTCCGCGAGCTATTAATATCTTCAAAAGAAGTATCTCGCCTCCTCCCCTTCGTCGATGGGTCTTAAAGCTTGCAAGACCGCCCAACCCCGCAGACCAGGGCTTGCAAAGCATGACTGCAACGCACCTTGGCCCATGCCACACTAGTATCACTTCATGCCAATGCACAATCCGCAGCGGACGCATGAACACGTGTGACACTTGTGCGAAACATAAAGCATCGGGTGATGCGCGTCTCTAGCCCGGACAAACTGCGCAGGCAAATCTCTTCGATGTTATGTGTGTGTGGGAGCTGGCCACTTGACCGCTACCGACAGAGCACGCAGATGACTGCTCGCAGATGCATGATGACCTCCTGCATGCTCACTCGCACAACTGCCCATCATGGTTTCGAAGATCATCGATGTGTGTCTCAGGCCTGCGCAATTAGGATGGCAGCTGTGGTTCCTTGCTTTGGAAAAGTCCGTGTGCTCTATGCTTGCATGGGGCACGCCTACGACCTACGAAAAGTCTTTGCCTGCCATGCCGCACGGCAGAAGCCACGAAATACAAGGCCAGCCCCTCCACCGCAGCTGCTCCACACAAATCTGGCGCTAGCAGCTGGTCCTGCTTGCAGTTTCCAGCAACACCGGACACCAGCCGGCCACAGTGAGTTTTAGATTTTAGACGCGACAATTGATGCTGGTGCAACGTGGCGAGAAGCTTCTTCTCTGGATTCTGCCAGCGCCTCTTCAATCTTCTTGCTCCAAGGGAAGAGCTCGGTAAGCTGAGCCATCTGAGCAAAGCACCTGCTCGATCCGAAAGGCCTTCCTTCGCTTCATGCTCGCACCACACCTAAAAGTGCGACAGGGTTCTTGAAACTTGGTTGGAAATGGTTGGAAATTTGTTTTGCTCCGAAGATGTGGCAAAGACGGCCAAAGCGATTCGCGAATTTTTGCTGTCGGACTGGGTCCTCGACCCTTTTCCGGAAGTATGAATTCACGATGAGATTCGGTGAGCGCTTCCCGTGAGATGCAGTATGATGCAGTTGTGGCTGAATTCGCTTCGCAGCCCCGCTTGCTCGGCTTCTGATGTGTAGCTGTAAAAGATTCGGAACTGAAACATGGGAAAGAGGCAACTCATCTTCTGAGCTTCGTGTATCATTCAAAACCATGCAAAACAAGTGATCTAAAACATCTCGCATCGAGCCGACACGGGCCCAAAATCTGCGAGTTGATGCGACGGGGTACCGCATATACATTATGCACACCAGACATGTGACAGGTTTGAAGGCACTGCAAAACTGCCTGCTCAAAATAAAATCAGGTGATTCCGAACCGTCCTCCACTGGCACAAGCACCTCGACTGCATTCCTGGGCCGCATCTGTTTCGAGCCAGAGAAAGGACATGTACAAGCAGCAAGCATGGGCCAATTCAAAACCAGCCGCATCCGAAGCCGACCAACAAGGAAACCCAAATCGTCTGCTGTAAATTCAGCGGGCAAGTCAGTCAGGACGGCTTGGAGCAATGTAAAGGCAACTTGGGTGACATCCCGAGCTTCTTGAATTAAATGGTCGCTTATGCCAGCAGTCTCCCACCAGGGTGCTCCAGCCAAACCGGAGGAGAGTTCCAATAGCTGTAGATCTGTGATTGCTCTAGCGAGCAATTTCACCGCGAGGCGAAAAGCCTCCCCGACATTGGGCAGATCTCTGAGCAAGTGAATCAAAGACTCCATTGCCGACGCTTCTTGCGATCCCAGCAGTGCCGGGCAAAGTCTTTCATGGCCCTGCTGCTTGGCCATCTCGTAGCACGCAGTGCTGCAAAACTGATCTCCACACTGGCAGACGACTGCACACATTGTGGTGCTCAAAGGGCACAGGCACTGCTGGCAAGCAGGCAGTTCCGTCTTGCTGTTTTGAAGCTGCAGCACAGCAACCGGGGACTCAGCGAGCAGGCAGCAGCCACTCTCGACGGCTGCCAACGCCCTGTCAAAGCCAACGCCCGCACATACTGATCGTGCAGGGTAGCGAAAGGAGTGAGTGAGTAAGAGCGGGATAGAGAGAGAGAGAGAGAGAGAGAGAGAGAGTGAGAGTTAATGCAGATACTCGACACCCGCGGCCTCACACCAACTCCTAGGCGCACGCGATATCGTGTACAATAAGCTCAAGGACAACGAAAACTGACGGTGATAGGCACTGAGGCCGGTGCCTTTAGAAGCAATGGCAGCGATCTCCAATGCCGAGTTCTCCTCGTGGAGGAACGCTTGGCGATGATGCCTGCAGCTTTACTTTCAGAGAAGTTCTCCTGCAGCAAGGGTTTCATGACTCTTCGGGTAAACAAACATTAAGATTTCCGGCGAGTATGACGCCCGTTCACAGCCGGGCGACTGCAGAGCAGTGGGACCGGGCTTGCCAGAAGTCTTGCCAGCGAGATGTGACAGGTCGAACATTCTCCCGGCTCCAAGTCACTCAAACATGGTACAGCTTATCCTCATAATAGGACATTGATCCGCTCGAGAGCAATGCTTGCTTGAGCCAGGTCGGCCACAGATCTTGCAATCGTTCGCAACCACAGGCCTGACAGGAGCACACTGTCGGGGCCACGACATTCGACGAAGGCAGGTGTCTTCCAAGCCCCATTCGCAGACCCTTCTGTAGGTCCTTTGAACGTGGACTGGTTTTGCTGAGCTCTAGCTGTCGAACTGGCTCTCCTCCAGCATGCCCAGGCGTTGCTGATACAACCTGGCTGCTTGAAGCGGGAGAGTCGATCCATATGACACCCAACTCTGGGCTTCAAACTCGGACAGGAGCTCTAATTCCTGCATTTCCTGCTGAAGGATTGACCTTGGTGGTCAAGGGGCCCAGGAACAGGTCACAGTCTATACGCAAACAACTAATATGTAGGGGTCGCTCGCCTTTGCCTTGCTCCATCCTGAAGAATTGCTCGGCACTCGGTACTGGATTAAAAGATGGTTCGTCGTAGCATGAACAACTCTCCCGACCTTTGGGAACAGGCCTCACGGCTTCATGCAAATGAGCCTCCTCCGATGCACCGCGATCCGACACGGGAATGCCAGTGACAACTAAAAGTGCCGTCCTTTAGGGGCTGAGTGTGAGGCCAGTGCCTGCAAATGCTGTGAATCATGGACACATGCACACAAACGAACAGGTGGCATGCATTCATACCTAGATCGTGCTTGAGCAAGGTCAAGCAAAGACTCTTTGAAGCACGCTTGTACGGTGACTCCGAACACTCGGGGTGAGCTGTGGCATTGTTTCTCAAATGTCTCTCTGCAAGTGAACCCTCTTCCGCCCACGGATGCCCACGGCATAGGCCCCAAAGGCCCTCCGTAGGCCCCTCCCCGGAGCTCCCCATGCCCCCATGGCCTTGTACCGTGCAGTCTCTCGTCTTCAAGTCGGCACTTCTCCCGCGGTGAGCCGACGCGGGTGTCACTCTACTTAGAACCCTGCGGCAACTCCAAAACTTACCCACGCATGTAGGTGCGAGTCACAGGCGACCTCTGGCTTCGAGCTTCTCGGCAAGACCTCATGAGTCTTCAATGTCTTAAGCAAATACACCGCCACGAGAGCGAAAAGGGTGTGGTGTTCAAAGTTCAGCCTGTCACAGCTAGGGACTGGACGAACCTGTCTGAGCATCTGCACACTTGCCAGATCTGTCATAGCTTTCAGCCAAAGTTTCATCCTCACTTGCCGCGCCTCCGCGCAAACCACACAACGGCAGCTAGAGCAGGCTTCCAGCAGGCTTTCCAGTTGCTGAGCTCGTTGCAGCAGGACAACTGCCGAAGAATGATGATCAATAACAAAAGGGAGGCCTCCAAGACAACAAGCGGCAAGGACAAACAAGCTGAGTCGCAAAAGAAGGAATCAAAGTCGAGCTTGCCAAGTGGAACTTTAGGAGGGCGTCAAAACAAGCTCCGCAAACGGTTGAAAGGGATTCCCCGCCAATATCTATGATGGGCTGCACGAGACGAAAAGGTGTGTGTGTGTGTGTGTGTGTGTGTGTGTGTGTAATGATTGACCGTTCGTTGGGCGAAGGTCAGAAGACGGATGATTGATACCCCGAAGCCTTCGTCTTGCTACCGCAGCTGCGGCAGGCTGCAGCCATGTTTTGAAGCCATGGGACACAATGCCACACGCCCCGGGGCAGAAACACAGGCCAGCAAATGCTTTTGCACGCCTTCGACACATATGCTGAACTAGATGTAAGAAAGTACACTTGATGCACGCAACACTAGACGCACTCACACACTGCTTGTGTGTCGAGCTGCCAGCTCTGTCCACAAAACATGCAAAGGCTCACTACCCTGGCTAGTAGGTTCAAGGCAGCATCTGTGAAGCACGACATGGAACGAGCGCACTGCGGCACATGGCACCCAAGCTGCAGAAGTGGCCTAATCTCGTGATAATGAGATTAACTTAATCATTAAATCATTCTGGCACATGACATGCACCGAAGGCCGCATGAGCCAACTTGGCGACCGTCGGCATGCCTTGGATTCCCAAGTTTCTCGTGAAGACAACACACAGACACGAGGTTGGCATGACGTGCAGATTCGTCCTTTGTCTGAGGCATCGCTTCTTCCGGAAGCCATTTTCATGGCTTCAAGCATGTAGTCATGGTCCAAAACAAGGCCGTTCAAACGGTTGCGAGTCTCGCTTGGCACTCCCAGCAAAGGATGAAAACCCCCGATTTCATCCCAGATAAGTCCACGAATAGCACAACAAACATCGATTTCACCATCTCGACTTGCCACTAAACCACTCTTTCCGGGCTCACTCTCCGTATTCCCCCCCCCCCCCCGTGCTGGTGCATGCTAGTGCGCACGCACCTGTTGCGGGGCACAGCTTCGGTGTGACAGCGACTAGTGTCTGCATGCAAACTTAGCAGCCCTCACCCATACCGCGACAGATGAACCCATCGGCCCAATCACAGCACTGAGGTACGGTAGATCGTGGCATGCACAGCGGGGCCAAAAACAACTATCAGTATCTGACCATACAAGTCTGTCTGTGCCAGCGTTGTACGAATGTCGACAGGAAACCGCGACAAGGTAACCACCGGGAATGCGATCACTTAGTATTGCGGATGTTGAGCTATCAAAGTCGGGCTGTCTTTCCACTTGGATTTTGGTGAGGGGTGGCGCTCACATGTTGTGCATGGTCCGACCTCTCAAAACCATATCGCCAAGCCAAGACTCTCAAAACCAGCTTTTCTGCAAATCTTTGCTCTGCAGATGTACTGCACTTTCTAACTCGTCCGTCTTGGGCACATCATCTACCTGTAGCAGCTTGCGTGCGCATTTCCAGCAGGGATTGCAATCGCTTCTCCTGGCGACTGCCACGCATTGCCACGCCAACTTCTCAAGTTTCTCTGTTGGCGTGCCGGCCTCGGGATCCAAGCCCCCCTCCATACGCCCAAGTGGCGGCCGTGTCTGCCTCAATTGCTGACGAAGTACATCTTCTACTTCATGCCCCCGAAACGGACGATCAATTGCAGACATCAAGCGGATGCATGAATGACTTGCCTTTGCGTAATGCCGCGATTACAAGGCTTCTTACTGTAAGCGGACTTGCGGCTGAAGCCTGTAACGAAGGTGCCATGACGGTGAGACTATGCGGGATTGACGGTAGCCAATCTTGTGCTCAATGCAGTTGATCTTTGGCTACTGCCTGCTCCTGACATCCGTGAAACTAACAAATCCTTCGGACCGATTTGCCCGAGCAAGATTCCCTGCAAGCGGGTGCTTAGCCGGAGGTCGGTGTAAACTCCCCACTTCCATCTTCATGTACTTAACCATGTAAGCATGTCAAGAAGGCACCGAGGCCAGGCCGATCCACCCCGCAGTTTTCAAGCGCACGGAATCTTACCGTACATTGTTGGGAATCCTGAAGATCGGCAGCTGCCCCTCGTCCTGCCGTTTATCGGAGTAGAGATGATTGTTTTAACATTGGTCTGGGCGTGCTGGCGGGGCGGCAGCATGTAGGCAATTGGAGTATACTGTCCCATCGGCCAGTTCATATATGTCTCTCGACAAGACAGTTCCCTTAAACTACCCAGCTCTCAACTCCGGCATCGTCCCGCGGATCACAGGACACAGCGCACTGGGTTAGAAGTGCTTTTCTTGGGGTTCTAAGCTTAAATGTCCACTTACCAAATACCACAACTCTTTGCATACATTTGGGTTACGAAGCAACACCATATGCAGCAGCCTGCAGAGCAAAATCCTGTGTGAAGGCACAGCACGAAACAACACATCTTAAAGTTCCAAAATACATACGTATGATATATATATATATATATATACATATATATATATATATTTATTTATTTATTTATAGATATCCATATATGTATAGAAAGACGGAAATGCAAAAAATAAGTAAATTAATGAATATCTACAAGTATACGTATACATATACATGTACATAAACATATACATACATACATACATACATACATACATACATATATACATATGTATATATATATATATACATAGATATACATGAGTGAATGTATCATATTATAGTTTGGGAATGCTTGTATGCTGCTCTTATGCAGGCTTTTGTTGTGCAGGCTAGAATATGGTTTTCCGCCCGAATATCTTCTTGCTTCGAAGCCC